TGTTTTCTCCTCTCCAATCAGCTTTTTAATCAAGGTACGCTGTTCTTCTGAACAATGTCTGGAACGACCCGTTTTTCCTCAGAATTTCAGAGAGAAATGCACTGTAACCAGCATGTCCAACATTTGCTGCCTTCCTTCCTTAAATAAGGGCAATAATTGCCACCTGTTTTTCAAAGAATGAATGACCTCACTAATAGAACTCCACACGGCTATTATTTTGAACACGCCCCTTTCAATGAGTGATTCAATGACACAGAATCAGCAGCATGCATGTCATGACTGTCGGGTCTGTTGGATTTCTATTACTCTACTACACCGGCTAGGAAATTATCTGCCATGTAGGAATATCATTTCCACCAAAAACAGGGATTGATCCGGTTAGTGATGTCTGACTGCTAGTATTTTCAACACAACTGTAAATATTAAAAAATATATTAAAAATATTTTTAAAAATATATTTTTAATGTCTTTGAAAACACATTTAATCTACAATTTTGGAATGCATTTACAAATATATGTTAAAATTACATTTTTCTATGTTAAAAAAAAATCTGAAGAATATATTTTAAAAAAATATTTTTTTTAATACTTTTAAAAAAATATGTGGGGATCGTCGGCATGTAAACCTATATGGGGGGACACCGGACCCGCTCCAAGAAAAGGTAAGTTGTAAAGAAAGCCGACGGATGGATCGGATCTGCGGATTGAGCATAATGGATCAGCTCAATCCGCAGATCCGATCCATTCTGCGGGGATCGTCGGAGGGGGTGTCACCAAGTGTTATCGCACCGGGTGACACCAACCCTAGGGGTGCCTCTGCTTGTGAGACCCCCAAGTCGCATGACATGTCAAATCCCATGTTAGTCTTGATTTGTACTACTGAAGTCACTCCAACATTTGAAAAGGCTCCTGTAGTACTTCAAGGCGGAATCCAACTTGTGGGACCCCCAAGTTGCATGACATGTCAAATCCCATTGATTTGCACTACTGAAGTCGCTCCGACCTTTGAAAAGGTTCCTGTACAATTTCAAGGCGGGATCCAACTTGTGAGACCCCTAAGCCGCATGACATGTCAAATCCCATGTTAATCCGGATCTTCTGAACAATGTCTGGAACAACTGAAGTCGCTCCGACTTTTGAAAAGGTTCCTGTACTATTTCAAGGCAGGATCCGACTTGTGAGACCCCCAGGTCGCATGACATGTCGAATTCCATTGATTTGCACTACTGAAGTGGCTCCGACTTTTGAAAAGGTTCCCGTAGTACTTCAAGGCGGGATCAGACTTGAGACCCCCAAGTCGCATGACATGTCAAATCCCATGTTAGTTTTCATTTCACTACTGAAGTCGCCCCGACTTTTGAAAAGGTTCCTGCACTACTTCAAGGCGACTTCTATCCGACTTGCGCCCATAGACTTTAATAGAAGTTGCCTCCAAGTTGGATCCTCATCTATAGTGATGCGATTTGGATCCGACATTACAGGGAGATTACCCAGGCGAGGTCGCATGGCATGAAAGTCGCTTAGAAGTCGCATGAAAAGTTGTACTCAAGTCGCATCAAATGTCTTACTCAAGTCTCCAGCAAATTACATGGAAAAGTTGCACCGTAAGTCGCGCGACTTTCAGGTTGCAGTAGTGTGAACCGAGCCTCAAACAAATCAGTCCAAGGGAACTTAAAACCCCATCCCCAGGGAAAGGAAACATTCTTCCTTGCAGCACAGCAAGGGCCAAATACTCATGTAGGTCTAGAGCCGGATCGGATCTCTCCTCTACTTCCCAACACTCCAGTGGTGGACTGTCTCTCCACGTCCTCATGCCCAATGCAGGGCTATGGGCACTGCTTTGGACTTGATGACACCAAAGGACCTGTGACCACCAGAGCATAGGGGAGAAGAGTCTCTGGGGACAGGTCTTATAGGCTGGGAGGAGCAAAGGGTTGTGTAAGTAAAAAAACTGCTTTTTGTGGCCCCCTAGACCTATATGAGTAGCTAGCCCTGGTAGTGTGGGGCCAGCCCATGCTGTAAGGGTTAACTCCTTTCTTCAGAGTTCAGCTTTAATAAATCCTAAAATTATTTTGCTAAAAATAACTTCCGCGTTTCAGGAAACGCTCCCCCTTCATCAGGGATTGGATGTTGTATAGATCCTTGTAAGGACCCAAAGAACACAAAGTAGAAAACTTAAGCGCTATGAAAATCGAATGAGTAATACAATATCCAGAATGTACAGGCAGTAAACCTTCAAGCCCTGATGAATTGGAGTAGAAGACCCCGAAACGCGTTGGTATATAAAAAAAATTTAAAAAACCCATTTCCTCGGACACATTTGCGGTTTGGTCATTTGCCGCTAATCACGTTATCTTTCTTTCTAGAAACATATCAATAGAATACATCCATAAATCCACTGCCTTAGAGGGAGGTTTGCATGCTGCCAAGAGGACACAGAAGTCTGTTTCCAAAAAGTTTTTGATAACGTAGCAAGGGGTTAGAACCAAGGCCGGAGCTAGCCTGTTTTATGTGGGGGTGTAGTAAAAAATGTCAGGGGGGCAGAGGATGGGGGGTCAGCAGGACAGAGGACAGGGGTCACTGCTGGCAGGGCAGAGGACAGGGGTCACTGCTTGTAGGGCAGAGGACAGGGATCACTGCTCACCAGGCAGAGGACAGGGGTCACCGCTGGCAGGGCAGAGGACAGGGGACACCACTGGCAGGGTAAAGGACAGGGGTCACTGCTGGCAGGGCAGAGGACAGGGGTCACCGCTGGCAGGGCAGAGGACACAGGGGACACTGCTGGCAGGGCAGAGGACAGGGTTTACTGCTGGTAGGGCAGAGGACAGGGGTCACCACTGGCAGGGTAGAGGACAGGGGTCACCGCTGGAAGGGCAGAGGACAGAGAACACCGCTGGCAGGGTAAAGGACAGGGGTCACTGCTGGCAGGGCAGAGGATAGGGGACACCACTGGCAGGGTAAAGGACAGGGGTCACTGCTGGCAGGGCAGAGGACAGGGGTCACTGCTGGCAGGGCAGAGGACAGGGGTCACTGCTGGCAGGGCAGAGGACAGGGTTTACTGCTGGTAGGGCAGAGGACAGGGGTCACCACTGGCAGGGTAGAGGACAGGGGTCACCGCTGGAAGGGCAGAGGACAGAGAACACCGCTGGCAGGGTAAAGGACAGGGGTCACTGCTGGCAGGGCAGAGGACAGAGTTTACTGCTGGCAGGGCAGAGGACAGGGGACACCGTTGACAGGGTAAAGGACAGGGGTCACTGCTGGCAGGGCAGAGGACAGGGTTTACTGCTGGCAGGGCAGAGGACAGGGGACACCGCTGGCAGGGTAAAGGACAGGGGTCACTGCTGGCAGGGCAGAGGACAGGGGTCACCGCTGGCAAGGCAGAGGACAGGGGTCACCACTGGCAGGGCAGAGGACAGGGGTCACCGCTGGCAGGGCAGAGGACAGGGGTCACCACTGGCAGGGCAGAGGACAGGGGTCACCGCTGGCAGGGCAGAGGGCACTATTTTTGTGCAACTTCATGTGCGGCTTGCATTGACGTCTGTTAATGAAGTCGCACAAATGTCGGGAATATGACCATTTTCTTTTTCTACCAAGGGAACTAGCATTTTTTAAGCCCAGTGTGCATGGATCCTAATTCTTGGCACCTCAAACGCAACGCGATTCTGCAGCAAACATCAATCGTGCGGGAGTCGTATTAAAATGCGACTTTTAAAAAAAATCATGCCAGGCTTGTCACCCAAAAAGGAGCAGCACTTTCATTTGTACGACATGTGCGCTCAGGGCCACTGAAGTGAATGGGCTGCCCTACGTGCGACACGAGAAAATCGCATTAAAATCACAAAACAGAAATCTCGAGTCGATGGGAGGGGGGGGGGGTTGGTTGGAGGGGGTTTTGGTTCCTCATATGGGGGGGGGGGGAGGGGGGAGGGGGGAGAGGAGATTCTGGGAATGATTCTGGCAAGGTGGGAGCGAAGTGGAGTCAGCGGCTGACATAACACATGTCTATACATTATGCATGCTCCAGCGGCTGCTGCTATTCCTGAATAATTCAAGATAAACCGTTAATATTCTGAAGCAGCGCCAAATGTACAGCAGATTTTGTAATGATTCACGCCGCTCTTTTCTCTGGGTTTCTGCGCAGCGGCACAGGCGGGAATCAAGCGTTTAAAATTCAGAGGTGAGAAGTGCGAGCTTTTCTCAGGAATGGGAGAGGGAGGGGGGGGAGGGGCTTTGACACCCGCTGGTTGCAAAGAAAGGAAAAGGATTAATAAGGGCCCCGTTCCCTCCCGCCTGGTCCGCCACCATGCAAAAAACGCAACTGTCACCGGGACTGTAACTACAGATAGCAGAAATTGTTCTTAAAGGGTAACTCTGCTTTTGTTGAGAGAAAAAAAAATCCCATCGGGGGGGGGGGGGGGGGTCTATTATTATTTCAAAGATTTTAACCGCTTTCCCGCCACCCTATAGCAGAAATACTACTACAGGGCAGCACAAATCACATATATATATATATATATATATATGTGATTTTGCATTTACGGCTAGGGGGCGCTCACGTGCCCTACCCACGCTGCTCAGCTGTCAATCACCAGGTCCTGGCCGGAGGTTCCCCACCGGCACCCAGCGATCGCAGAGTATCACTGACAGGGGATAGGTCTGTATGTAAACAACACAGGTCTCTCCCCTGCCAGCAAGGACATGCTGCTTTGTATTTCTCTGCACAGCGTGTCTCTCTAATATATTAATGGTGGTGTGTTGAGTTATTTTGAGGGGACAGCAAATTTCCATGTTATACAAACTGTACACTGACTACGTCACATTGTAGCAAAGTGTCATTTCTTCAGTGTTGTCACATGAAAAGAGAGAATCAAATATTTACAAAAATGTGAGGGGGAGGGGGGGACTCACTTCTGGGAGATACTGTATATATACTGCTGGAGGGGGGAGGAGACAAGTGAGACCCCCTCCCCCATATATACCACCCCTCCCCCATATACACTGGTGGAGGGGGGAGGAGACAGGTGAGACCCCTCCCCCATATATACCTCTCCTCCCCCCATATACACTGCTGGAGGGGGGGAGGAAACAGATGAGACCCCTCCCCCACATATATGTATATACCGCCATTTGCTATAACTTTCACGTAAACCAATTAATTTATTGGGATTTTTTTTATAGCAAAGACACGGAGCAGAATACATTTTTGTGTAAATTTATGATGAAATTAGATCTTTATTTTTTTTTTTTTACTGGACATGTTTAATAGAAAAAAGTAAAAAAATATTTGTTTTTTTTTCAAAATTGTCACTTTTTTTTTTTATAGTGCAAAAAATAAAAAACGCACAGGCGATCAAGTACCACCGAAAGAAAGCTTAATTTGTGGGAAAAAAAGGACGTACATTTCATTTGGGTGCAGTGTTGCATGACCGCGCAATTGTCAGTTAAAGTAACGCAATGCCGTCACGCAAAAAATGGCCCGGTCAGGAAGGGGGGGGGGGGGAATCCTCTGGAGGGCGAGGGGTTAACAAATGTTGCAGATTGCGACCTTTTGTAAGTCTAGATTCACACCTAGGCAGGTTGTGTTTGAGGCTTCTCTGCATTGCGTTTAGCATTGCGTTTTTGACGCGTTTTCCTTTTTTTAAAAAATATTTCTTGTTGCTAGGGAGATTTCAAACGCAAAACGCAGCAAAAACGCACTACATGCTTTTCTGCAGCATTTCCATTGAAGTCTATAGAACCAAAAACGTAACTTTTTGCATTCAAAAAAAGTCCCCGACCCTTTCCAAAAAAACACACCGAGGTGAAGCGCACAGATGTGAACCTGTCCCATAGGAAAGCATGCTAAATGGACTGAGGTACATTTCTGCGAAATGCTGCACAAAACGCTTAGGCGTGAACCTCAATCAGTGCCGGTGCATTGGCTCGGCCTTCACATCGGCTCTGAGGCCCAATATTCGATGTTTTTATTATTCCACAAAGCAAACACTGCAGAAGCTCAGAAGATATTAAAGGTGACCTCCGGGGTTCTGTTTTTAGTCATTTCGCATTATTTGTAGAATGATAAAGACATTGGATTCTGGGTGACGCTTCGTAATCGCCAGTCTTGAAGTCGCAATACATTCTGTCTATGGAGGAGAGATCTCGGTGATCCGTCCATCCTACGCTTGGGCGAACGTTTCTCAGATAAGAAGCCGAACGAGTTCTATTCATCTTATCTATCGGCCACAAGTACAGACGAGGCACGAATATCATCAACGCGCTGCCTCCGCTTCCATCGAGTGCCTCTCACCGGGGCCTGATGGACGGCGGATGGGCAAGGTGCGACTGTGGATCATAGCCAGCAAAACCTAAACTCATGGAATATAATATTTGTTCTCGCACAGACTACGGTCCTTGGGTACGGGATTTATTGACGAGGGAGGTTTTCTACAGAGTGTGAGCTCCTGTGACAAGCCATGGGTGTGCCTAAAATAAAAATATAATTGGATGTGGAGAAAGGAGTCGCCGACAACCATGCCATGTTCAAAGTCACTTAAATCCCCTTTCTTCCCCATTCTGATTCTCGGCTTGGACTTCAGCAAGTCGTCTTCACCACATCTAGATGCCTAAATGCATTGAGTTGCTGCCATGTGATTGGCTGATTAGCAATTTGTTTTACCAACCAATTGAACAGGTGGACCAAATAAAGTGGCCGGTGAGTGTGTGTGTGTGTGTATATATATATATATATATATATATATATATATATATATATATATATATACAGTTGTGTTCAAAATAATAGCCGTGTGTTGAAAAAAGTGACTAAAGCTGAAAATCCTTCTAATAGCTTTTATTTCCATCCACACAAATGCATTGGGAACACGACACATTCTATTCCAAATCACAACATGAAGAAAAATACATCAAATTTGTGTTGTTCCTCTAAAAAAATTTAAGAAAAGTGAATATTAGACGGTTCAAAAAATCTCTGTGTTTGTATTCTTCTTTACAAACTCAAACATTCACTATATAAACTGAGAAATGTTTGAAGATTTTGCTTTCCTTTGAATGACTTCATGAATATTTGGTTGTAGTCGCACTGTTTCTGAGAACTGCTGTACATCTGTGTTGCATGGAGTCCCCCAACTTCTGGCCCCTGTGATCAGGTATTCCAGCCCAGGATGATTGGACCACATTCCACAGTTCTTCTCTATTTCTTGGTTTGGCCTCAGAAACGGCATTTATGATGTCACCCCACAAGTTTTCTATTGGATGAAGATCCGGGGATTGGGCTGGCCACTCCATAACGTCCATCTTGTTGGTCTGGAACCAAGATGTTGCACGTTTACTGGTGTGTTTGGGGTCGTTGTCTTGTTGGAACACCCATTTCAAGGGCATTTCCTCTTCAGCATAAGGCAGCATGACCTCTTCAAGTATTCTGATGGATTCAAACTGATCCATGATCCCTGGTATGCGATAAATAGGCCCAACACCGTAGTATGAGAAACATCCCCATATCATGATGCTTGCACCACCATGCTTCACGGTCTTCACAGTGTACTGTGGCTTGAATTCAGTGTTTGGGGGCCGTCTGACAAACTGTCTCCGCCCACTAGACCCAAAAAGAACAATCTTACTTCCATCAGTCCACAAAATGTTGCGTCATTTCTCTTTAGGCCAGTCAATGTGCTCTTTGGCAGATTGTAACCTCTTCAGCACACGTCTTTTTCCCAACAGTGGGACTTTGCGGGGACTTCTTGCAGATAGCTTGGCTTCACATAGGCGTCTTCTAATTGTAACAGTCCTCACAGGGAACGTCACACCTTCTTTCATCTTCCTGGAGCTGATTGTTAGCTGAGTCCTCACAGGGAACGTCACACCTTCTTTCATCTTCCTGGAGCTGATTGTTGGCTGAGTCCTCACAGGGAACGTCACACCTTCTTTCATCTTCCTGGAGCTGATTGTTGGCTGAGTCCTCACAGGGAACGTCACACCTTCTTTCATCTTCCTGGAGCTGATTGTTGGCTGAGTCCGCCCCATTTTGGCTATTCTTCTATCCATTCCAATGGTAGTTTTTCGCTTTCTTCCACGTCTTTCAGGTTTTGGTTGCCATGTTAAAGCATTTGCCATCATTTTAGCTGAGCAGCCGATCATTTTCTGCACTTCTTTATATGTTTTCCCCTCCAATCAACTTTTTAATCAAGGTACGCTGTTCTTCTGAACAATGTCTGGAACGACCCATTTTCCTCAGAATTTCAGAGAGAAATGCACTGTAACCAGCATGTCCAACATTTGCTGCCTTCCTTCCTTAAATAAGGGCAATAATTGCCACCTGTTTTTCAAAGAATGAATGACCTCACTAATAGAACTCCACACGGCTATTATTTTGAACACGCCCCTTTCAATGAG